AAAAGAAGTTTCGGTTTTAATAGCGAAAAGAGTGGCTGAAGTAAAGCACGTGGTTCGAGGCCTTTTGAGAAATGCGTTACCCTGCTTATAACCCTGTTGTCCGGCTGTGTGTTATAAATTAGGAGGGTTTTTTAACCTACCATCGACTTGAAATAAATGAAAATGCCGGCTCCTTCCTTATAACCTTGATGATGATGGAAATAAAGATCGAAACGTTGGCCCACTGAATCGACATTTTGAGGAGCAAAGTGTGCTTGCTCGACCTGCTTACAACCCTGATGTCCCGCTGTGTGTTATAAATTAAGAGGGTGTGAAACTGACAGAATATCGACTTGAAATAAATAAAAATACCAGCTCCTTCGCATCGTTCGGAGAACTTGAACTAATAAGCGTCTCGCCTCGACCTGTTTATACCCCTGCCAACTGAATCGAGTTGTGAGTGTTTTTGAGGAGCAGAGTTGTGCGATTTCTTCTTGAGGTCTTTGGGGTGGTGAACCGGTAGTTGGGTCCGATTATTCCGGTCCGCCTATCGTCGCTGTTTTTTCTTCAGAGGGGGGAAGAAACGCGTCGGGCCAAAAACGATCTGAGAGGCCCAAACTACTGTCGAATTTTATTTTTACCACAACAGAAGAACTTTTTAAGTTCTTAATTTTTTAATTAAATTTTCTCTTGATGAAGTGGTGTCAAGTGAGACAATTGGCGGGGTGAAGCAGAACAACGGTAACGTTTCTAACTGCTGAACAGGGCGATAATTGCAGAAGGATCTCGCCTGCTGATATGAGACAGAACAGGTTTTCTCACTTCTCGAAAACCCCCGCCTCCGATTTCTCGTATTGGGCCGAACCGGGGTTTGTCCGGACATCGGGAAGACGAGGGTTCAACAACATCGAGGGAGGGCGTGGAAACTCCTACTGAAATCCGCTCGACCTTTTGTCCGTTTTCTTTTTTCACCCGGGGGCCGAGACCAGTTCGGTTCGGATCAAGGTCCGCCCGCTAGTCATTTTCATTTCTCCTAATCATCTCAACTAGCAGACCTAAACGTGTTTCGACGATTCCTTTTCACGCGTCATCATTAATCATCACAGAGGGGGAAAATTTGCGTGTGAATCGAACACAAACTTACCAATAAAAAAAACACACATTGCATAAACAACAAACAACCACGTCTTCATGTAGATTTCTTATGTTCATATAATCATACGTCTAAAATAATACTTCATATATTATTTAAGTAGTAAATAATTATTGATTGAATGATTAATAAAAAACAAATATAAGAACTTCCATAAATCGACTTCCTTTTTTGTGTGTTTATTGAACATTTTGTTTTCTTCTTTTTACTCAAAGAAGTCCACATTTGAAACATTTTCGTGTTATTTTAATTTTTTTAAATTGTGCTACTTGAGTTAATTTAAAATATCCATGTTAATACATATAGGTTAGGGTTATGGGCGGGTCAGGTTGGTTGGGCTAGGTTAGGTTATGAATAGTAAGATTAGGTAGTGTTATGGCGGGTCAGGTTAGAAATGGTAAGGCTAGGTAAGTTTATAAAGCGCTTACACTGCCTTTTGTGTGTATGCCCTTCGATAACTTTCCATATGACTAAGCCACAAACAAAGGAATCAAGATAAAAGACTGATATTTGGTGGAATATCATCCTAGAAAAGGTAAAGACACACATCACAATTCTGCAAATACTGGGAAAAGATCAAAAAAAGCTCGTCGGATCGCACGGTATCCCTTGGTTACACGCTGAACCATGCATAACACATCGCCGGGTGTGTAAATGAATCTTTAGGTTATGGTTAGGAACATGCCAGATGGGGTTAGTTTAGGTTATGAAGAGTAAGGTTAGGTAAGTTGACAAAGCGTTTACACTGCCGTGTGTGAAAATACGGGCAGTCAAACCCCGTTGGACCAGGACCTTTTCTGTAAAATGTCACACTATCATATGATTGAGCCACTGCCCAATGGGTCAAGCTAAAAGACTCTTACTTGGTAGAATAACATCCTAAGAAAGGAAAAAACTAAGCCAAGAAAGTCTCGCCTAAATTTACTAGATATTATCGTCACAATTACGCAAGTACTGGGAAAAAATCAAAACAGCTCGTCAGGATCGCTCGGTTAATCTTGGTTGCACGCTAAACCATGAAAAGCCCAAGGCAAGCCAAGCAAAGCCCAAGCTCTTTTCTTTGAGAGTCCATCTTCTACACGCGTGATATCACATCGCAGACAGTGTAAATGGATCTTTATGTTAGAGTTCGAAACGTATCATGTTGGGTTAGGTTAGGCTATGGAGAGGAAAGTTAGGTAGGGTTAGAGGTGTATTAAGTTACAGTTCAAAGTTTTTTCGTCAGCACAACGTCATGTCATTTTTTTAAAAGGAAGTTCAATGCGTTATCACTCATAATTCAGATTTGTTATCTAATTTGTCTGCTCTTTCTCGCATTGTTTACCCAGCCTGTTACATTTCTTCTTGATGCCTGCGGGGGTTGAGACACTTGGTCGTTTCCGATCATACTGGTCCGCCTACCCTTGCTGTTTTGCTTTGCTTTGTCTGTTTTCTGCGTTATTTACCTTGACTGTGAAAAATATTCCATTGTCGAAAAGACTCGAGCGAGTTCTTGAGATCTTTAATCCCAGCGAGAAAAATCGACACACGGAGTGAATCTTCTCTCTAGTAAAACAGGATAAAATAAGTTAAGCTCGGTATAAAGAAGCTCGAAGATAATAGGCCATATTTCATCCTCAGCTGTTTGTTCACGGGAGCTCGCTAATTCCTTTGAAGACGGCGAAAAGTCGTAAATCTTCCAGCTTCTCACCGACTCGGCCGAAGTACGGGCATAAATGGAAAGAAACAGGTGTTTGCCATGTATTTTGTAAACATTGCTCTGTACTAAATTGCTTAAGAATTACTTTTAATTTACTTTGGATTCCCGTTGGTTTCCGACTGAAATAACAACATATGAATAAATAAATGGTTGAACGGATAATCAGTTGAAATTTGGCCAAACAGGTGGCTCATGGACGAGAGATTATGTCTGTGGGCAGGTTTTATCTTCGATGAAGTGGCTATCAAGAGCCATCATCCGGCTTGTTACGGCTGCAACGGGGTGAAAGGCTCCGCGAACCAACTCGTCTCACCTAATTATTGTCATAGTCAAGTCGTAAATACCCAGACACGAAACCCTAAAAATAGACGGTACCAGTTTTATGACCAAAACAAAAACCAGTTCCTCCTCTTTTTCTCGGTCTCGGCCTTACCGCCCAATTGTAACCCTGACCAAGAAAAACAATCTTCGGCTGCCCTTTATATTTATAGGATACAAGGCTCGCCTCGCGTGCGAGACAATGGGTTATTGTCATCTTTGAAAGAGGACCGTTTAATACGCCTTCAAATCTCCGTTGAACCACAACCGAATTAGTTTTGTGAAGCGTCTTCGACCTGTTGAACATTCGCCAGTATATAGATCCTTGATCATCTCTGAAAAATTCAAACGGCGATACGCGACCTCTAAAAATAATGATGTATGACACGTACGTTTTCATTGACCAAATAAAACAATCGATACTGAGTGCGGTGGTGATGAAGTTTGAAGATTCAGGATGAAGATTTTAGATCCAGTGTTGCCAATAAACTGGCAGAAACAACACTGCACACGCCCTTAATTCACCGGGTTTCTTAACCTAACAAACTTGTTAATCGTGGTGTTGCTCTGATTCAACTTTAGGCAGAAAGGGTTAATTTATAAAATTTATTTTAACATATTTATAGCTAGACTTATATAATAATCGATACAAGATGTATTGGTGGTGAAGAGCTATTTTAAAGATTAAAGATTCCAAGATGGACATTTTAGATCGAGTGCAAAACTCAGGGATTTCCTAACCTATCAAACTTGCTAAACGTGGTGTTGCTATGAGCCAACATTGGGCAAGAAAGGGTGAATTTATAAACTTAATTTTAAAATTTGTATTTGCTTGAAAAAATTAACAATCTTTACGAGATGTAGAGGCTGTAAAGAGTCGTTTTAGAGATTAAAGATTCCAAGATGTAAATTTTTTATATTGGCGCCAAACAACACACAAATCAGTGTTGCCAATACACGCGGAGAAACATGCAGCAACAACACTGCCCCCACACTAACTCACGGGATTTCCTGTTGACCTTTAAAAAATTGCTAAAGTTTGTGATCCTCCAAATTGCTAAAGGGTTAAGTATGTGTAATTTGTACGCAAAAGTAATTCAGTAGTAGATAAGGAAAAAAACAACTTTTTGTTGTATTCTGCCGCAAAGAAAATTATTTACCTGAAACACCTTACCCGGACAGATATTTTTAAAGCAGAGATGAAATGAAAAAAGAGGGTTTGCACTACCTCTGAACCACTGTTCAGCGAAACATCCGTAGTTCTGTGCAACCGACTCGGACAGTTGGCCATGGTTTTCCAAAAAAGCCGACAATTATGTCCCCAAACTATATATGAAAAAGGTATACAAAAAACTTTTACTGTAATTATATTTTAATTTATGTGTTCACCTAAGGCTTCCTTTTCTTTGTTATTTTTTATTAGTAATATCCGTGATAATTGGATCATTGATCTGAAACCTCCGTCCACCTGCTGTACACGTTCACCCCAGTATGGACGGGGTAGCCCGCCGAGTTGTCAGAAAGGCGTCAAATCACCGATGAAATGAAAATCACGAAACCAAAGTACAAGCCATTCGGTTTTTGAATTTTTGGACCCGTCGAAGATAGTTGCAACTGATACATCGTCGATCGGATTTATCGGCCAAAATAAAAGTTCATTCTTTTTGTTATCAGTTTGGTTGATTGTAATGTGGAAATTGTGGCGATGAACCTGGTAGAAACGGAATCGGACATTCCCACAGCTTACAGTACGAGTGGGTCGGCTGACGTGACGGGAATGGTAACGCAGCGTCGTTATCTTACGCGGAAGAAAGAGGGAAGAGACTCTGGGCCAGTGAGACTCATCACGCAGTCATCCGCGTACCGATTTGGGTCGTGCTCCAGCGAATTCGCGAATCTGGAGTCCAGTCCGACTCGAGTTGCGTCTCGGCTCCGTTCTCAAGGTCGGGGTTGAACGACCTCCCCGATGCTGATGACCCAGGGTAAACAAACACCTCCCCGACCACTTGGCATTTGCGAAAAATGTGGTCGGACACCACTCCCCCTCCACAACCACTCCCCGACCACATCTCTTATTAATATGTAAATCGTTTCAGGAACCGCTGTATCCCAACATCCTTTTATTGAGGCAGACTCCTTCCCCGGCCCTTTTGTTCGTATCGAAACTCTGTTTTTTTCTAAATCATCTGCTCGTGAGCATTCGTACGAACACGATCTTTTGTGAGTTAATATACATTTATATGCAGGTCCGACAGCACGACCTATCTCTCGGATCTGTCGTCCCCCGACTCCCAACCGTTTTTATCTTTTATTTTATGGCCTTTTTGTCCCAAGGTTCATTAGCAGCGAGTCGAATTCTGTAAACAACACCGACGGACTCAAAACAGACCCCGCTGGGCCACTTGTTGACGTTCGATATGAACTCAATTTAACTTCGTAAAAAGTTACAACCGGCTTTTTTCCGAACAGTTGACCAATCATCTCGCATTGCTCAACGCAACGCCAAACACGATTCACAATCCTATTCGTTTGCTATAGATGATTTACAATAAATAACAGTAAAATATTAATAATTTAAAAACGAGCTCTTCAATCTCGTATGTATAAACCGCCTATGCTTCAGATATCTAGTGGCAATCGATTGTCTACTAATTTGCTCGTCACTAACCTTAACTCTAGCATACCTAACCTAATCCGTCCTTAGCCATAAACTTATCCCTAACTTAACCTAACCAAACCCAACCCATGCTCAACCCCAGTAACGTGAAATCGATGATGCAAAAGGTCACAAAATATTGTTTTCCAGCCATAAACCCTATCAAAAAACTCAATCTTTGATAGATTGTTCATGTGAATTAAAATGCTTTAAATTTACGTAAACAATCAAAGATGAGGTTCCACCGCAAAAAGTAGGCACGTTAAAAGAAATATTCTAACTTTGATTAGACGTTTTTTGTAATAAAACCTCTCGCATTGCATCATGAAAAAGAAGTTGCATTGGTAATTCGGAAGGCAACCCAAACTTAACGCAACCAGTCACAAAACCTAACCCTGCCTAACTCGTACAAGTTTTTCTGACTTTATTTCTTCTCAAAATTCTGTATTTTTTATTAATTTAAATAACCTAACCTAAACCTACCTTTCCCTAAACCTAGCCTAACCCTACCTAGTTCAACCCATCCCTAACCCGAAAACTCCCTGCCTTACACGAAAAAGCGTTTTCTGACATCATTTCTTCTCAAAATTCTCTATTTTTTATTAATTTAAATAACCTAACTTAAACGTAACCCTAACTCTACCTAACCTATTCTAATCCTTTCAACTTCATTTCATTGGAGGCTGTGAATAAATTAAAAGAACTGGGATAAAGGAAGAATTGTTGATGATTCCCAGGTCCAGAAAACATTTCCTGGCTTCGCTTTTTCTCAAAAGTCTAGATTTTTAATTAATTTAAATAACCTAACCTAAACCTACCTAATTCAACCCATCCAAAACCTTAATCCTGTCCCACTAGCAAAAGCGTTTTCTGACATCAATTCTTCTCAAAACTCTGTACTTTTTATTAATTTAAATAACTTAACTTAAACCTACATTAACCTAAACCTAACCTAACCCTACCTAACCTATTCTACCCCTTTCAACCCCATTTCAAAAGTGACTGTGAATAAATCAAATGAATTCTTCTTCCCCACTCGCCTTATGCTCAAGAGTAGCCTACAACACATCTGTTTTTAGTAAATTGGACGATTTCATTAAAGGAAGAATTTTTGATGATTCACAGGTCCAAAAAGCATTTCTTGTTTTTAATTCTTCTCAAAACTCTGATTTTTTCTGTTCTGGAACATCCTGACTCTAAGCGTACCTAACCTAACGTAATGTAACTTTTAACCAGTCCCTAATCATAACCCTAACCTAATCTAACCTAACCAACTCCGACATTGCGGTAGCGCGAAATCGAGGAATACAAACAATATCCAAGCAAATTATTATTTCCGTTATTTTAGAGGCTTGCCAATATCGTTTGTTGTAAATATTTAAACTGAACCTTTGTAACTTTTTATTTGGCCGTTACAGATCATTTCACTTCATTAAAGATTCACAGGTCCAAAATTCGTTGTCTAACATTATTTCTTTCTCAAAACTCTCAATTGTTGTTGTTCATAAATTAAAGGCAGCGTCGAATTTGTATTTAGGAGGCAGATCGTACGTGTTAACCTTTTTCGGAAAGACCAGATGGTCGACAAAAGAAAGCATGCGTTGTATTTTAAAAAAGGCGTGATAAGCAATTTGATTGATATGTTTTGAATAAAAATAAACGTCAAGAGGTTCGTATGGGACATTTGTTATCATTTCTTGATCTTTAATCTCTAAATTATCCATCTTGACGGCTTTTTGGGACATTTGCACCACTTTATAAATCTGCCACGGTTTCATTGATAGGTCCACAAGTCCCGCAAATGGAGGATGAATGGCCAGCAAAAAGTGGGTCATGGTATTTTCGTATCACCCCGCTATTTAGTACGAATACGCTATTTCGTACCCGCTCCTTCAATTTCAAACAGTAAACGATTCGCAGTCGCTTTCATGCCGACATTAAATTTAATTCAACGTGATTATAATTTCCCGATTTGATAATTAAGATGGGATGTAATTAATAAAAACAATCACAACTAAAGGGAACAGTACCAGCCCTTGCTTTTCATTTCCAACAAATCTTGTTTTCGATTTTGATTCACAGACCAAGCGTTTTAAAATGTAATCAATAATTCATGAATATAATTAAACCAGCCCCAAAGCTATGCAGATGCCGAAATTTCAAGTCACAACTGACTTAAGTGACTTTAGTGCCCCTGGGAGGTAAATATCTAGTATCCTAGCCGATTTTACTTGAGGAAGGCACGTATGTTAATCAGACAACAGTTGACTTCCAAAACGACAAAATAGCCGAAATAAAACGTTTATTATATTTTATTATGTGTTAAGAGCTTTCGAGTGTGTTCAAACGAGATGGTGAGGACGATGATCTTGTAAGACGACGTCCCACACGCTGGACAAACAACGCCAGACTTCAGGTCTTGCAGGATATTTCAAATGAAAAGTTTGCAAAGTAAATTAACCACCCCATTTTGAACTAATGTTGGCTCAAAGAAACGCAAATTGTAGGAAAGTTTGTTACAGGTAAGGCGAAAAATCCCGCGTTTTAGAGCCGGAGCAGTGTTTGTACCGGTATTGGCAACACTGATTTTTGCCGCCATTCTAAAATCTCCATCTTGGAATGTCAACAATGGAAATCTCTAACATATCTCTTCAACACCATTGCATCTAGTGTCGGTTTGTACAGTTGTGTAGAGGATAATTTTTTCAAATCGTTCAAATGCTGATCTGAGCTTACATTGGGCAAGAAAAGGTTAATTTATAAACCGTATTTAAAAAAAAAATTATTCTCGAGAAGAGAAATGTTGGAGATTGAACCTACCAAGATGGAGATTTTAGATTGGCGTCAAACAAATCAGTGTTGCCAATATGCCTGCAACTTACGGGATTTTCTTTCTCGAATCTAACAAACATTTAAGAAACAAATTTCCTAAAGTTAGTGTTCTTCTCTGGTAACTATATGCCACAAAGGGCTAATTTATAAACTGCGTTTGAAAACATTTTTTGTCTACAGGATATTCTTTTTTTCAAATCAAATTTATAAATCCCTCTTTGACCGAATATCTTACATAAGGCAAAAAAATTATAAATTAACCTTTTCTTGCCAAAGTTGCCTCAGAGAACACAAACTTTAGCAAGTTTGTTATGTTAGTTTGCGTGAGTTTAGGGCCGTCGCAGTATGGTGTCACTTTTGGAATCTTCAGTGTCGAGCATGGCACTTCATCACCACTGTATCTAGTATCGATTGTTATTTTGGTCTATAAGATGAAATTTTTCAAATTCACTTTATAAAATTTAACCCTTTATTGCCTAAAGTAGTTTCAAAGACACTATCTATAAGTTAGGTTAGTAAAACCTGCGAGTTTCTGCCCGTGTATTGGCAAAACCTTTTTCTTTTTATTGGCGCCAATACTAAAGATCTATTCTCCCAAATGGCTATTCTCAACCAGGGGTTCAGTTTCTTTTATGATTGCTGGGTTTTTATGCAGAATTATTTTTGTATGTCTCATCCCTGTACGGGGCACAACCACGTGAATTCCCTCCAAGAATTTATTAATATTTCATTTTTATCTTTTTCGGCCATCTCAGATAGGTGAGTATATAAAGGGAAAATTCGACAATTAGAAAGGGAACATGAATTTTTCATCTAGGGAAGGACTTATACCTTCTATCGTACAAAACAATTCCGAGAAAATCTAGAGCGTTGACTTGGCGAAGATGGTGATTAATTTTTATGTCGGTTTTAATGTCCGGTGGGTTTTTTTTTCACTGAAATCATGATTTGAAAAGGAAAAGAAACTGCCCAGTGGATAAATTCTGAGTATAAACCCGGTGATCCCAACCCAACTCACGACTCGATCCAGATAAAAGCATTAATGCTTCGAATTGATTTATCGACTTCTCGATAAGGGTCGAGTTTTTCCTTAATTGATATATTCGCGTTATATGATTAGTGAGCAATTTGAAAAGGTTTCTTGGAAGAATACTATTCATCTTCTGATTGACTTATCTAAACAAACTTTCCAATTAGCCGGTTCCTTCTTGGGAACATGATTTTTCAGGACATGTAAAACTCTTTTTCTTTTCAACGATAGAAGGTCATATGTTTGACATATTAGCCTAGCCAGTATTAATTTTTTTTTTTGGGGGGGGCGACGGTGGGAATTGAACCCACGATCTCGTGGTTTGTGAGAGTGAGTACCCTGCTCTCCTATGAGCGGACTTTATTCAATTTATCCTAATAGAATATATAAACCATATTTTAGTTTTTTCGTCCGTTCGGTCGATTGCAAACGATTTTCTAGCCATCCATCCAGATGGGAGTTAA